CGGGGAGACAGACGCTACGGCAGCCAATCGAGCAGCGGGAGCCTCAGGGCTTCTCCTCCCCAGCTCCTCCCCTTCCACACGCGGTACCTTAAAGGACTGGTCCGTATGCTGTCGCTTCAGGTGCTGTTGTCACATAACCAGTAGAGGGGAAGGCCTCGCTCATCTCCGAGCTAGCCAGGCTAGCTGCCCTGGGTCTGGCTCAGCTGGTCCCTCCAGTGGGGGGAGAACCCTGTGCTCCCCATGCCCCGACAAAGCGGATTGGGTCCCGCACTTTCCAGAGGGTTGCAGGCTGGAGTACCTGGAGCACAAGGAATGTGGAGGGAAGGTTGTTAGCCTGATTTACAAGTGCGTGTGGCTTTTCTGATTTTCCAGAAAGTTTGCAGCCAAACCCATATGGTGGGGTACTATGATCAAAACCCTGCAGGATTACAAATATTGTATTTGTGTCTGCACCTGTGGGATTGTCGGGTATTGACCTGGACAGTCTGATTTTTGCCTCCTGTCTGGTTTAAAAAAAAATACAGAAAATACTGGACACCTAAAATGTCTGGTATCTTCTGATTTTTTTTTCCCGGCCAAGAGGCGAAAATCCCAGGTGCTTACTGGGTTCTGCAGGGGCGCTGTCTGGCCCTGAACAGGGAGACAAGATGGCGGGCGGCTGCCAGCAGCTTGTTAGGGCCAAAAAGCCTCAAAAAGGTCAGGCTGTTTCTGGTTTTTTTTAATTTTTAAAATTTTTTTTGCTTAACTCTCAGGGTCCTTTTTTGTTTAACAACTTTGGTCTCCCCACTTTCTTCTCAACAGAATTTTTTCCCCAGTGGTTTTTTTTTTGGGGGGGGGGGGGTATTTTTGGTTAAACCATCTGGCAACCCTATGCACCTGTACCTGCAAAAATGAACTGCAGATAGCCACACTGACATCCGCTGATACAGACACCCACAGATATCCACAAATTTGCAGTTTTCTAGATACAGAATTGGTATCCACATCCCTGTCTGCAAAAATGAGCTGTGGTTATCTGTATCCACATCAGTGAAGGCCTGTGGATTTGCAGGGCTCTATCTATGGTGGGCTGCCTGTATCCACTGGCAATTTTACAGGAGCATGATTATTAAACTACCATATATTTGAGAGTTTGTGAGCAAGCAAATCTGTATGTCCAATTGTCTGTTCAAAAACTCCTCCTTAATGATAAGAGCTAGGACCACTAAATGTGGTATGTGGCTTCCTCTTTTCATAATTTAAAGTAAGGTAGGGGTTTGATTGTGTGAGGAAGCCCTCCCACATGCACACTTGATTTGTACAGGGATGCATAAAACCATACAGAAAAGTGACAGAATCACTAGGCTTTCCTCCTTCCCTGATTCATACAGGAACATTACTGGCTGTTCCCTTCCATCAGAGAGCAAGTGGAAAGTGCACCTTGAACTCTCCACCTTTGGCTCTGGATACCTTCGCCACTGTGCCACCAGAGGAGCCCCCCAACATTCTGCATCCCCCTTATCCTTCCTTTGTCCCCAGGGTGCCAGGTGTGTACATCACAAAGCTGGTGGTGGCTGTCCCCGCAGGGGTGGGGTGGGGTTAAGGTTAGGACACAGTTTGTTCCATTCCTCTATCTGGAGAGCGCAGGGGACAGAAGAACCATGACCTGCCCAAGCTGGGGGACATACACCCCTCCCCGACTGCCTGCTGCAGTTGCAGTGGCCATAGAGAGGCACTTCTTACCTAGCCCCAAGCTGCTGTGGTGAGAAAGGGCTGGAGTAGTTCTCTCTCCCCAGGGCGGCCTGCATACTGAACCCCTCATTCCCAGAGCAATGATTTAAATTAACTGAGTTATGGACCCAAGCAATGCTGGGTAAATAGTCTAGTTATTTATATTACAGGCATACTGATCAGATTTGGATAGCAGGAGCAACTTTAACCATGATTCCAGAAGCTACTTGGAAACCTAAAAACCTTTGGTTTTTTCATATGTAATAACTTTTATAGAATTTTCCTGGAAGATAATATCTAATTCCTTATAAAGAAAATTGAATAAATATTAGACCCACTCAACTCTAATACTAACATGTTCAGATACCTTGTCTCAAGACACTTAAGTGACATTGGTTAGGCTTAAAATTTTAATGTATATTCTTACTTTGTTACTATCTCTTGAATACAACAATGATAAAAATTACAGAAAAAAATCGAGATGACTTTCTATCACTTTTTTGCAGTTCATCAAGCTTTGAATAGATTCCTTAACTTTTGGAAACATCCTATTTAGGGCAAGACCCAGGGACTTCATACTGCACCCACCTGGCGCTCCAGCAGTGTTACCCCATGACAAATAATAAACTAGAAAATTACTTTAAACACTACCGAAACTGACTTTTTCAAGTCACTTTCATAGTATTGCCAACCCCAAATGTTCAATAATCAAGACTTGGGCAAAACAAAAATCATGAGATTAGCTTTAAAATAATGAGATTATGTAAAAATAATAGATTTGGTGTGTTTTTTAAAATTATATTCCACTTTTGATCCTTTAAGGTGCACTGGGGTCACATTTGGAAGCTTTCTCTGCAGCCAGAAAAGCTAGAAACTTCCTGTGTCTTTAAGAATGAAGGCTGAAATAATACTGTATCACTTGACTCCAGGTACTGGGGCTTTAAGGAATACAATACTTATGATGAGGCTCATAACAAAATCATGGGATTTGGCAACACTTCCGTTCAAAAGCTAGTTACTTTCCAGAAGGGTCTTAAACATAAGGCTACAGGGATTGAATTGCAGTTTTCACAGGAGAATATTTTAAAATCAAACACCAAGAAAAATTCCATGTTTTAAAGATGGAGGAAGAATGAGACTTCTGAGATGTCAGAGCCATTGGGGCAGGAAAGGAAAATGAACAGGCCCAAGAGCTCTAGTCAGCTCTTCCTCTTGAAAGAAAGTTGGAGGGTCAAATCTTCTAGTCTGTAATCAAGTACAACTTCTCTTGCCATCAGCACTACCACTCGTAGACATAAACATCACCATGAACATGTAATAACAGGTGTAGTCAATAACTCTACACTTCATACTTAACTGTCTGAGCCATCTTATCAGAGTTACACATCTTACACGCATTGGCCAAGGGACTACATTTCCTGGCGTATTCTCAACAGTGAATCACACTTTTAATGACAATAAATGTCAACTTTATGGATTCTTGTAGATGCAGTTTCTGTTCTTTGTTCTGGAATTGGCCTGGGTACAGCTGAAACCCAAAGGACTGGACGTATGATCACATCTGATACTCATACGACACTTTCTCATTCCTTCCTTTTCCCAAACTCAGAGCCAAAAATGAGAAACCAAAATGGGTTTCAGTTCCAATCTAAAATTACCCACCAGGTGTTGCCGTACAGCTTTGTCCAGGGCAGAGCCTGTCACCCACTGATGGGTAAGTGCTCTTCTCTCAGCAGACTCCCATTTTCTTTCTCTCTTCATCCTGCCTGACTTCTCTGCTGCTTTTCACACTGTCATCCAGTGCATCCTCCCAGTCACCTGGCACGGATTGCTGGAGTCTTAGAGAACTGGCTGGCCTGGTTTTGTTCCCATCCATCAGAGGCCTTTTTTTTCAGCATGGAGAAAGGCTGGAGCAGTGGATAGTGACCTCATATCTGAGTTCTACTCCCCGCCCACTGCTATGGATTTCCTATATGACCTCAGGCTGTATTTTACGGACATTTCAAAGGGTTTTAAGCAACCAAAAGTACAGCTGTGTTGTGCTTAAAAGAAGCACCCAGGATCTTTTTCAGGGGGATAAGGCAACACGCCACATTTATTGAACATACATAGATCAATCAATACTTATCATATGCATATTACACATTACACTCATGCACTCACACACACAAGCACACTCTGTCTTCTTGTTACCAAAAGTTGCTCCCCGTAACTGCACTGGCCAGGTGAGTTAGATGTGGGAGGGGTGGAGCCGGGCTTCTGCGGATCCGGATTCATGCTCCTGTGTTGACAAGATGAAAACCCGGGGTCCCTCTGCAAGATGCCTCCTATTTATCCCTCT